CCCCCCAAAAATAAAATCTTCAATAGGAAAAAAGGAAGAAGACAAGCTTGAGCTGTATTTTGTGCTGGACCCGCTGAATTCCTTTTCCTCTCATTGTCTCCAGGAAATCAAAAAGTTATCTACCGTATTGGCATGCCAAGATCCCTTTGATTCACATAAATATGCTTACATTGCAAATGTTTGTGTTGCAAAGTTTGCTCGACGTCAGGGTATTGCTTCAAATATGATACATTTGGCTGCTGATGCGGCTTCCTTACAAGGTGCCTTGTTTCAGCTTTAAACTTTTTAAAGTGCTGTTCATACGAATTTACCTGTTCAGAATTGCCGTCCCTCTTAATTAATTTCGCTAAACTCCTAATCTTATTTTCTGCGTGTACAAGCAGGTTTCAAGCAACTATTTGTTCATGTAAATGCAGACAACATACCTGGCCAGGAACTCTACAAAAAAACTGGCTTTAAGGTTAGCTTTCAATCCGTTTTTCCATATACTGAGCATCTTATTGCTATTGTGTACAGGGGCGGATTTAGGGGGGCGCAAGGGGGTTCACCCGAACCCCGTTCGCCGAAAAATTACACTGTATATATGAGGCAAAATCTGTTTTTTACCTTTATATATTAAGTTTTGAACCCCCTTAACACAATCCAAAAGTGTAGTTTAGTGGTCAAGGGGGTTCAAAATCTACATAAGGTCATGGGTTCAATTCCCACTAGCTACAAAAAAAAATTTTTGAACCCCCTTCGTGGAGATCTTGCCTCCGCCACTGATTGTGTAGTGCAGTATATCTGTGTATGTGAATGATTATCTTTTATTAGCCTTTTTTTCCTTTTTATGATAAGTGAACAATTGTTTTCGTTAGTGTGTTTTTTGTTTTCAGATATCTTAATGTCTACATTATATCCCTCATAATCATCCCAAGAGTTGAAGTCAGTGCTATTGGTGACCGTAAAACATTGTTAATAGACTGTTAACCTTATCCAATTTCAGTTGTGAGGGACCAGAAAATGAAGGTTTATCAAATTAAACTCTTTCTTTCCACATTTTTAGAGAAATAAGTTGGAATATGAAGGACGCCAGATGGAATGCCGAAAAAACTTATGGAAATAAAGCCGCACGAGCTTAGAGAAACCCAAGTTTCCTGGTTTGTAGGAGCTATTATATCTTGTCACTTGGCAACACATCATGCTCAAAAAGTATAAATTTCGCGTATAGCATAAAGTAACTGTTCGCGGAGTTCTATTTTATGATTTCTTTCGCATCACTTCAAACAAATAGATTATGGTTACACTTATTTTGAGCTTTGTTCTTTGTGAACGAGTTCATAATGTTTGAAGCCTTGTTTATATCGCGCTTCATAAGTCATGATCTATGCTTTAGATAAATTCATTTGGAAGTGTATTCTGGTCATATCACTTCGGTTAACAATGTTATTCATTCAAAGAGCAAAATGATTTTAAGGTAATATATATAAAACGAGCGTTTAATGGTGGCATTCATTCTAGGAGCAAAAATTGTTAAATGTAAACTTTATGAAACGAGCCCTTACACTTCTGATTCTGCTACATTACGAAACCCAAGAGTTTAAGTTATGTGCACTAATAGTATACAGATTTTTACTGGTTAAGTTGACCTAAAACACGAGGTAACTTTTTTACAATGTATAACTTAAATCCTTTTGAAAATGCTTACTTCATTTATCTTGTTCTGTTTGATAATCATGCAACAGTCCAGCCCGCTAGTGATATTGTTCGCTTTGGGCCTAGGCCTTCACGGGTTGAAAGCGCGTCACTAGGGTCTAAGACTTGTTAACTTATATATCCAGCATCCCTCTTGTGTTTTTGCCGATGTGGGACTCCGTCTAAAGTCTGGGGTGTTACAAATCAATTCTTTGATGTATAAAAGAGGCGAGTCTTTTGACTTGCTCTGTCATTCTATGCAGATTGTGGAAGAAACTTCGTCGTCTCTATCAAAAGAACAGAGATTACTTATGTCCTTGGAATTATAAGTTCCATTGCTACTTCACTTTCTGACTAAGGGGATGTGTTAGTTTGTATATTTACATGGTCTGAAGCCTATTGTAGGTTGATATATGTATCTTTGGGTAGAAAATTAGTTGGTTACAAGAGAATGTAATATATGTGTAGAAAGTTGTATTATTTGTTTGCTCAATTAGTAGTGAGTGAAAGCTGTGTTATATGGATTAGGGAACGGGTACGTATTGGATACGCGTTATTTAAGTATCCAATACAAGCGCGTCCAGTTAAATTTTTGGCGTATTTTAAAGAATTTAGACTGTATTTTGTACTCGTATCAGACATTTCGACATGAATACGTTATAGACAAATGAAGAATTCATGTAACATTAAGCTGAGAGATATTGTTATTTTTTCTTATTAAAAAGGATATTTGTTGTTTATTTTTCTTACAATGCTGAGAAGGATGAAGATTGATATGAGAGATTTAAACACAACACCAATTATGAAAAACTAGTAAATTTGCCCGTGCGATGCGCGGTGGTATATGATATTGCTAAATTTAATTTTTATCTAATTAAGAAATTTTTTTAAGAATATAAAAAGCTCAAGCAAAAATTAAAATTAGATAAATTTTATCTTAAGACTACTAATTACGAAATAAACATATTTCAATTATAATTTTTCTTACAAAATTTTTTATCAGCAACAAAAAGTCTCGTATATGACATCAATGAATTTAAGTTTATGTTATTAAGAAAAGTTCTAATATTAAGAATATATAAACATATTTAAAATTTATAATTATTCGTATATTAAAAGATGAATATATATATATAGGTAAAATAGGAAAAAATATTGTAACAACAAAAAGGCATTTGAGAAAAGCCTCTTGCTCGGTCAACATAATTATCTTGTTCTTGGATAGTACATACCTTGTATTTAAATAAACAAAGTCAAATTACTAATATAAACATTTAAAAATAGATTGTATAAATTTAAATCAATGTTTTAAAAAGCGGGGGCGTGAGGCGACACGTTTTACCTCTGATGAGGCGAAGCGTAAGCCCTGAGACATAGGCCGTAAGTCCCACGGATCTTTAAATTTTACTAATTTCAAGAATTTTAAGATAGTATAAAATAAACAATAATTATAAAAATTACATTAAAATCACAAAATTATAACAAATAATATATTTAAAATATTAATAAATTATAATTCAACTATAAATAATACGAAAAGTATGACATATATATCATAATATGTAAATAATTACAATGTCGTTACAACTCAAACATCAAAAGTAATGTATTTGATACGAAATCTTATATGTATCTCTTAAGGAGTAATGAATCCTGAAAGAATTTCGACATTATAATTTGATATTTTTCTTAAAATACTCCTTTTATTTAATATGCTTTCTATTTGAAAGAAAATTTATATAAAACATAATTCATAATTTAAATATGATTCTCAAGCATCATTCATTTTTAAATTTTAACAAGTTAATAAAGTGACACATAATTCACCATACAATACCATGATAACTAATTATTTGTACATAGTTACTAGCTAATACTGAGCTATTCAATTAATAAGTATTGTATCTCGTAAACGTGAAAAAAAATTAGAAAAAAAATTATGGACTATTATATAGTAAAGACATAACAACAGTTAATAAATAAATACTTTTTAAATGAAAGAGTTATTTAAAATTAACTAGCAATCTTAGTGGATAACATGCAATAATTTTTATTTTAATTATGACAATACTCCTAACTTAATAATTTATACTTAGGAAAAAAGTAATTTTGAGTAGCCAATAATTTATTAAGAAAATTTGAAGATTTACAAGGTTAGTTACATACAATTGCATAAAGTTCTATTAGGCGAGCCCAGTACGCCGGACGTTGGACATGTCTGGGACGTAAGCCCCAATAGCCGAGGCGTAAGTCTCACGGAACTAAGCCCCACATATAAGTCCAGGGGCGTTTTACGAGTGCTCCGCCCCGAAGCGAGTCCCAGGCGAGTCTCAGTTCTGCCTTTTAAAACATAGATTTAAATAGTTCAAATTTAAACTTACAATGAAACCTAGAGGTAAATATAGAACACAATTGAAACTTATCTTAATGAAAACAAACTCTTTGGTCGCAAGGGTATTGAAGAAAACAAAGAACTTTTTCCTAGTAAAACGAAGATAATATTTAAAGTATCAATGAAATTTCTATTTTTGCGTAGAAAATACTTTTACTCTTGCCCAAACAATTAGCTCTCCTAAAAGAAGTATGTTATAGCAACCGTTCTTTCGGTTACTTATATGATCTTATTTAAAATAAAACGACAATTATCTATTTACACAAAATGTGGAAGCATGAATTGAATGAGGACTCAAAGGAATTGGACCTTAATCGTCCAATTTCATTGGTTATTAAATTACTGAATTATTCATGTAGTTGAAAAACAAAAGTGTTTAACCGGTGATGCCCTTTGGCCATACTTTCACCACCGATTTCATCAACTTTCTTCATGAAACTTCCTATAATTCATTTGAAGATGTGGTGGGCTGTTTGTGCGGAGTTGGAGACATGGAGACTGTTGGCTTGAGGTGGAAAAAAAGGGACATTCAAATTGTTACTGATTAGTGAGTCGCTTTTCATTTTATGTTTGTTTAATTTATAAATCCTCCACAACTTTCATTTCCTATTATGTTTCAATGCCTCTTCCCCAATCCATATTTCTGTATAGTCAACTCATTATTTTCAAATTATAAACTTATAATAAGCAAAGCAGACATAAAAGAAAGCAACTAAGAAAATCTGGAAGTTCCAAAAACGCCAAAAAGAGCTTTGCGACTTTTCATTTCAAATTGAATCTCTCATATTCGATTTTGAAGACTTAGAGCCCGTTTGGCCATAAAATTCTTTTCACTTTTCTTCAAAAAAAATTCACTTTTTTTTTTTTTTAAGATGAATTTTGAAATTTTTTAAAAATTTGAAAAATTCCAAAAAGTTTTTTTTCAAAATTTTTACTCAGGTCCCTCACAAAAATTAAAAAACAACCCAAAATTATATTTATGTCCAAACACAACTCTAATTTTTAAATACTATTTTTAGTTAAAAAATTTTTTCACTTTTTTCCGAAATTTTACAATTCTTATGTCCAAACACCCACTTAACCTTCATAATTTGACAAGTGTTTTCCATATATTTATAAAAAGCAACTTTATATAAATTCTTAAGCTTCCAAAAAATATATTCTAATTATCTAATTTCCTCTGAAAAATAAATCTAATTGACAATCAATTGGACCAATATTTCAAGTCAACTCTCAATCAAGGGACCAATACACATATACTTAAACTATAAGGGCTTAAATATTTCAATCTAATATAAGAAAGAACTATAGTGTAATTTGCCCCAAATATTTCCATTTCCCTCTCGTAAAACCCCTTCCCTTATCCCCTAGCTACAGCTTCAACAGTTCTTTATAATTCCCCCCACTGTTTTCTCCGGCAATTTTCGTCACAGGTATGGTATTTTATATCTGAAGCAAAAAGGGTTTTGATTCTTTTGAATTTCTATAAATATACGTAATTATTTGGAAATTATACAGTCGAAAGCTCATGTCTTTTGAGGTCTAATTATTCTTGTTTCAATTCAAGCAATGAAATCATATCTCTATGTATCCTTTTATTTTGTAGTATAGATAATATATGCCAACAGCCTCTCTACCCTTTCGGGGCAGGGTAAGGTACACTATACTCTCCCTAAACCCTACTAATGGGATTTTACTGGGAATGTTGTTGTTGTTGTTGTAGTAGTAGATAATATATGCCACTTAAAATATATGTATGCTTCTTTATTACTATTTTTCTTTTTCTAAACATGCTTGCCTGAGCCGACGGTCTATATGAAACAACTTCTTTGCCCAATGGTTGATCTAGAATTTAAACTTTACGGGTTCAACCTTCAAGGTTTTTAGCATTGAACTCATTGTATTATTAACGTTACGGGTTCAGAGCTACTATTTATTGCAATTTTATTAGATTTTTACATATAAATTTATGCTCCAAGTCAAAAGTATTGGGTTCAGTTGAACCCGGTACTAATATGTTGCATCCGCCTCTGTCTCTACTTGTACAACCCGGTACCAATTTTATTTTGAAAAAAATGGCATGTTTTGTGGCTCTGGTAGTTCTATGTCCCTAGTGGAGGAAATGATCTAAAGGAAGTATTGAGTAGAATAGTAATCTTAGAAATGCAGTATTTTTAAATGCTTGTTCACCTAATTATATCAATTTTGTAGTCATATCCAAAGGAAGCTGAAAGCCGGTGTTAATCCGTTTGTCTATAGATTTGGTTTCAAAAATAGGAAATAACATTTGGCGATATTTTTCATGCTGTGCCTGCAAGCAAATAACACTAAGATGAATTTCTTTTAGCATTTATAATTGATCAAATTCAATTTCACTGCTGTTCCCCTCTGTGTGTGGCCTTTTTTTTTCATGAGTCAAGTGGAAGTTAGCTTTGAAACGGGTTATCTTGTGATCTCATCACTTTATTGACTGGTTCAGTGGAAATAGCACTCGTATGAAATATTTTATGCAACAATTATTTCATGTCTGCTCATTAGAAGGTGAAACATATGAGTTGTTTGAGGGGGATAAAGGGCTCTGATCAACTGCCATACTGGTTGCTGGTGAAAAATGGCTTTTTGGGGATTCAAAATATCAATCGACCTCAATACCAGACTAGTTGGGCTTGTTATTTGTCCTGCATTATCTTTTTAAATCAAAGGAGCTGGGCCGATTGTATTTACATAATCTGCTTTGATTCGTAGGCATAGTTCATATCGTGTTCAGAGAAAAAGAAAAAGGAGAATTTGATTTTTGTAGTCTCTTGGCTTGTGCTCTTACTTTGTGAGTGGGTTTTACAGTATCTTATCTTTTTCTGCGCTCTTTCCTGTTCTTTTTATCCGTGGCCTCACTTATGTCTGCAGTTTTGCTCACTGTTATGTCAGTGAGAACTTTCACCTATCTATTTATTTAAGTAGTTAGTCATTTGTTAATTATTAAAAATATACTAAGATTTGTTGGATTATACATATTTTGTATTATACATTCTTTCCTGGAATATGATTTGTTGCCTACAGAGAGTTGTTTTCAGACATTTGTTTTGGCTGGTGTACTTATTTCCTTGTTATGCTTCAATTTGCTAATTTGCTTGAGTTTTATAATTGCAGCGCTAGCCTCTTTCTATTGATTTTCTTGCTGCCAGTTGTAGAGGCTTAATCTGAAACTGTTTGAAATCAGGGAGAGCACGAGGAGAAATATAAATAGATAATGGCAAAACCTTCCCAACCACCTCAAAATGGGAAGGGGGAGATGAAAGAGATTGATACTGCGAATGCCAGCAACAATAACGAGAGCAGCAAAAAGAAGGCGACAAGAAAGTTGCCAAGCCCGAAAGAGCTTGTATCACACTATGAATCGCAAGGTATGGACTCCCAAGAAGCTTCCTTTAAGGTCATTGACGACCTCCAGGGTGCTCTCTTCAGGATGGTCAGCTCTTCTCGAAATGACAAGAATCGCAATAATAGGAACATGTCATCTGAAACCTCCAGAAAGTTGGATGTCATAAACGCTCGACTGCTCAGCCTTGATATGAAAGTTGACTCCAAGCCAGGCTACCCTCAAACGCTTGCCATTGGATTGGCCTCTGGTGGCCTTCTTCAAGTGCTCCCTCGTGTTGCAAGTTCGGTTGTCCAAATTTGGAATACTGTTAGAAGTGCTACAAACTCAACCAGTCATAGGTCATAAATCTTGTTGTTTAGCATGTTTGCTTCTAGTCAGGGTACATCTACTTTTGAAGTAGGAATTTTGATTGCCGAAAACTAGAATATTGTTCTGTAGGGGCCTTTCTTCATTACGAATATTGTGAAACCTTTATTGAGTTGAGGTTCTGTCAGAAACAGCCTCTTTACCTTCACAAGGTAGAGGTAAGGTCTACGTACACACTACCCTTCCTAGATCCCACTTGTGGGATTACACTGGGTTTGTTATTGTTATCGTTGAATGTTGTGCAACCTAGTGTCATGAATCTTAGCATGTATCGCATTTTTGGCTGTTAATGCCAACTACTAGTTCTATTCTTATTCTATTGCCAGGTTCCTGGAGTATCAGTTAAGGTATAGTTGCTGGAGCTTGTTGGTCTCTGCATTTATCACTTGTTTTACTTGGCAAATGGCATATTGCTAGTTGTTTTTTTTTTTGTGCAGAAATGTCCATTGTGTTGAAAAGGGAAGCCTTGACGTAATTGGTAAAGTTATTGCCATGTGACCAAGAGTTCACGGGTTTGAGCCGTGAAAACAACCTCTTGCAGAAATGCAGGATAAGACTGCATATAATAGACCCTTGTTCTGGCTCTTTTTCGGATCCCGCGCATATCGGGAGCTTAGTATACCAAACTTTCCTTTGCGTCCATTGTGTTGAAAATGTTCAGATAGGTTTGCCACTGCCTTTGTAAACTAGTAATTTGGAAGCAAGAAGAGACACATTCTTGCAAAGATATTTGATGGATGGAGACAGGGCGGATGTATAAGTTATCGGTTCATTCGAACTCAATAATTTTGTTTGGACTTATACATATTATGAATTCAGTAAATAAGTACAATAATTAATTTTGAACCCAATAAATCATATGAGTTATGATAGAATTTCGGACTCGTATTCATAAACTTTAAATTCAGGATAACCTTCAAAAAAGGTACTCCCTCTGTTTCAGTTTATGTGAACCTATTTCCTTTTTGGTTCGTTCAAAAAAGAATGACCCCGTTCTAAATTTGGAAAGATTTTAGCTTAAACTTTCAATTCTATCCTTAATGAGAAGCTTTTATAACCACACAAATACTCTAGATCTTTTTTTGACTTGTTTAGGGTCACAAATTCAAAAAAAAATTTATTTTTTCTTAAACTCCGTATCCAGCCAAATATGTTCATATAAATTGAAATAGACGGATTACTCCCTTTCGAGGATAATTTTGTCGTATTTTCCACATTATTAATTACTTATATATATTTGGGGATGTCACCACCATTCCTCTAAAACCAACGTAGGCACACAGTTAAAGGGGGTAATATAAGCATGAAAATTTTATTTTGTGTCTTATACAACTGACACTAATTATATGAGATAATTTTTTTGTCTCACAATTTTGTGGACCCAGATTTCTATGGACCCAGAAGTATAAGATTGGGGTCCACAAATTTATGAGACAAAAATGAACCTCATTCAACTAGCGTAAGTTGTACGAGACACAAAATAAAACTTGCCGTGTAAGCACGCCGAAAAGTACCTTTGATTTGACTGTTTTGTACATACACTAAATTCCAGCGAATCTCTACTTTCCATTTTGTAGTTATCCTTTGTCAACGTCTCTGATCTTTCCACGTCATCCATATTTATCCTCTAAATTTTCCATTTTTCGGTTTTTCTCTTTCATCTCACTTTCCAGCTCTGCCCTTCCAGCTTCTTATTATTTATTTAATTATTTTTTAAAAAAATATACTCCTACTCAATATTTACACTTGTGTTTGTAGGTTGAATATGATGATCGCAGATTAATTTAGATAGAAAGAAATTCAACATTTTAACTTAATAAATTCGACTTTAAGATTTTTCATAAATATACTATACTTTTAAAATTATAAATTCATGAGTTTTCACATCAAAACTAGTAGGAAAAATGATACTGTATAACCGCCGTAAAAATAATAAACGAATATATATATATATATATATACTTGGTTTAATTGAGGGCAATGATCGTAAATAACTCAAATAGTATGCCTTATTTTTTTAAGCGACCTCCAATCTCACCTTCTTTATTAATAAGTCTGACAGAATACTATATAAACCCAGAGAACGTGACTTCTGTTACTTTCTCTCTCTATATATTTACACACACATGTATAATCAGTAGCATTATTGGTGAAGACATGGGGAATGCGAACGCCAGAGAAGACGGCGCCGTCGCTGGCGGAGGCGGTGGCGGTGGTGATGAGGTGTCGGAAAGAAGATCCAGTAATATTCAATCTGCAAATATTGGTGAAGATCACGCTCGGACAACGCGCGTGGCTTCAGCTGACTTAATGGTCAATTCTCCTCCGCAAAGCCCACATCGCTCTGCTTCACCTCTCTTGTTCGGACCTCAGGTTTCCATTTTTCTGTTACTTTCTCTGTTATGCGTGTATGTGTGTGTCTCTTTTTGTGTGTGTGGTGGTAGGATTAGAGGCGGATTTAGGATTTGAAGTAGTTGTGTAGTACAAATTATTTGAATTTAAGCATAAAAATATACTTGCATTATAGGAATAGTGTGTGTTTGAGTGCTGGCCTCGAAGCATTAGAGTTTAGACCCTATGTTAAATAGTTGATTGGGCACGACTTTTAAAAAATAATAGGAAGGAAGACTCTTGAAACTTGTTGTTTAAAACCATATACAGATAATTTTGTGGCTATAAATCATGTCATTAAGAAGTTTAAAGTTAAATTCTTTTATAGAAAGGTATTATTTTTTGGGGAAGACTAAAAAGGGAAGAGCATCCCATAAAGTTTAGGGTAGACGCAAAAGCTACAATGTCTCCCAATGAATTTTCTGTACTAATGATGCCTAATGCATCCCCGAGAAAGAGGCGGTTGAAAAAAAGTTTATGCTTCAATCATGGTAGGATTATTGAAATTACTTATCAAAAAAGAATAAAAATAGTAGGATTATTGAAATCCTTTAGTGAATTCTTAGTCAATTGAATTTGGAGTTTGTGCGAGCTTTGCTCTGATTAAGGCAATTTTTATTCACAATAGTTGAGTTTTTATTTTACAAACTTATACTTGTTGATGAAATTAGTTTAAATTCTCTTCATCAAAAATTAGTTTAAATTCTTCTAGGTGAGGCTCATACAAGACCCTGGAAAGATGTAAATGTTCTAACTCTTTCGTCTTAGCTATCTTCACTAACAGATTTGAAATTCTGTTCATCTGTCTAAACAAAGGCATAAAGATTTAAATTTTGTGCTCATGTATTTTTGTTTGGAGATAGGAAGTCGAGTTAAATAAGCTAAATGGATAAAATGGTAGTAATGGATAAGAAGATTCTGATTTTAACAAATTTAGAATAATAAATCATGAACGATAAAAATTCAAATGGTGAATAATACAGTCGTCAAATTATGCTTATACATCCGTTGCTTAATGAGTAGGGTAGATTTAGGGATAGTGAACTAGATGAGATAAATAACTTACTTCAGAAATCCCTTATGGAATCACTTACTATGTCTGGATGTCAAAAAAGAAATAAAAATAGCTGGGGATGGAGCTAGATGAGAGGTGTTTTATGGATATCCCTAGTTACTAGTTCAGAACTATGTTCATTTTATTTGCCTGTGTGTACCCATGTCGAGCAGCAGTGATGGTATTCATATGTTCCGTGTGGAAACTTAGGAATACAATAGAAATTTGCAAAAAGTTCCTGTTACTTACACCTTTATCAGCTACATACGTAATTGAGTCCATTAACATAGTTCATATTGCTTTAATATGTGGTAATCATTGCCATGTAGAATCAGATCTTCCCTAGTTGGGTTACATGTTATTGGCTTCTTGGAAACCAATAAGCTACTGATTGCTAATTGTTCACTTATGCAAGTCATTGGGTTTAATATCCTATTCAGGTGGCGATGGAGATGGTGCTGCAAGATAGAAAATAATAGAGTTTTGCAGAAAACAGTGGAGACTTTAGAATACATTGGGAAAGATTGATAAAAAACTGAGATGGACAGATGTGATAGATGGAAGAGGGGATGGTGGGGTTTGCTATGAGTTACATGGATCATTGGCTAATTGACACCTCTTTGGCTGCCTCTTGAAATCTACTTATGTATTTGGCTAGGAATTTGATAGAATCCGATACCCATAAGTACAGGGAATTGGGTTTTTCACAAACATTTGAATCAGATTCATTATTGTGCATTTCAGATCTCTTAGCCTAAGTGAAGCCTTAGATCATATGTCCTTCATTTTAGACTTGTCATAATATCATCTGATGTATCTGGGTGATGATCCCTGCAGTTACTTTTGGTGCCTATGGACTGAAAGGAATCGAAGATGGTTTGATGGAACCTCAACTCCAAATCACTCTCTCAAAGCTAGATGTTTGATTGATCTTTTTTGTTGGACTAGGTTAACCCCCGTAATTAGCACTGACCATTTTTGGACTTTGCTAGCTCCCTTGTTTTAGATTGACACATTGTAAAGGGGGTAAGAATCTTGTACTTTTGTTCTTTTGTGATTTTACATCTCCTTGATGCCTTTTAATGAAATACCTTCATCAAAAAAAGAAATCATCTGTCGCATCTGAATACGTGGCCACTATCCCTCGCATACCTTTTCCCTCCAATTGAATATCTCATTGACGGGGTAAAAGGTAGTGCATTTGTGGGTATGGCTGCACGCATTGCGTAAGTATGTGGACCTTGGTTGTGACAGTACTTTTTACCTTTTTCCTCCCTTGTCTCCCCTAATCTGTGCTCTTCCATTCTTCAGGAAAGCTTTTCAGTTTTGGGGGTTCCTATTATAACTTTTTAAGGTTTTCTTTTTGGGAATTGGTTTTTTTTTTTATTATCAGGAAGGGGCTGTGGGAACATAGTTCGAAGAATTGTTCTAGGTCCATTCAGGAACTTGCAGTAATGCTTTTCCCGTTTCATTTGATTACTTGTATGACACTGCTGATGAGCTTCATGTCTTTTGTTTCATTACTGTAGAAGCACCAAGAAAGTGCATCTGTATACAAGTTTTCAGCATAGTGGATATACAAGTTCTTCCTAGAGTTCCTATAAAGTATTTAGTAACTCAAAAGTGTTTCCAAGTTGTATTCATCTTTCAATTTTTGTCCAAAAATATTAATATATACTGATATGTTAAGGCACGTGATGCAGCTTCCTTCTTCTCAAAACACCTACTGTTTCTTTCTCTCAAAATGAGCCATAATATGCAGGCAGGGCCTGTAATCGAAAAGGCTCTATGTGATTTTTGGTAGTTTTCTTCACATCTAGTTCCAGAATGCTACCCTCGAATTATGTGGCATTCGCCACTTTACATTGGATAAGTTAGAGAAAATAACTCTGAAGCTCAATTTGAATAGGCGATCTGTATATTCCGATGGACATATAACACCTTGTGCACATAAGCGATAGTCTCTTCTGGAGGCTTGATTGGGTGACACAGCCATCTGGAGTTCCAAACAGAAAAAACCTCTTATGTTTAATGGGGATTTTCTTCGATACCCTGCCATTAAATATTGATAGCAGGACTCCACAGCGAAGTTAACATATTTTCTGGCTTTCCATCTCAAAAATGGTTTTGTGGCTGATGAGTTTCATTTCTTGTTTGCTTATGTGGTATTATTAACATTTATGCTGTTATAATCAATCTACCTCCACAAAGATAGGGGTAAGGTTTGCGTACCCTCCCCAGACCCCACTATGTGGGATTATACTGGGATGTTGTTGTTGTTGTTATAATCAACATTATCGCTCAAACTATAGCTTTTCTAAACGGCCAAGAAGGGAAACATGTCCCTATGAGGTTGACCAATAACCAAAAGCAAGCGCCTCTTTTTTGTAGTTACCTTGGAGATAGAGCAGGAGAAGTTAGTTGCTTCTCGGGCACCCCAATATATCCCATAAATACTTAGGATTGTCTGATTTCGAGACTCAAATCCTCTCTTTTTATCCTCCTTTTCAGGTCCCAGTAGTTCCTTTACAAGCAGGGGATGGCCATCCTGCTACCGACCAAATGTGGGGCGATGAATCTCAGGATGCCTCTGATCATTCTCCAGAGAGTGGCATACCTATTTTGATAACATGGAGTTATGGTGGTAATAATGTTGCTGTCCAAGGATCTTGGGACAACTGGAGATCAAGGTAAACTCTGGCCTCTTGTTCAGGAGTTGATCCAGATTCAACCAAGTACTAGCTGCTGCGACAATTCCTATTAATGGAGTTTCTGAATGTTTCCACCAATGATATTTGCTTGCAGGAAGATTCTGCAAAGATCAGGCAAGGACCACACCATTCTGTTGGTCCTTCCGATGGGGATATATCATTACAAATTCATTGTGGATGGAGAAGTCAGATATATCCCTGATCTTCCATGTGTAGCAGATGAGACAGGCGTTGTCTTTAATCTTCTTGATGTTAATGTAAGTGAGTTTTCCGCCTCCTGATTAGTTGGTTGGGAAGCTGATTTACCTTTGGCTAGTGAATTGCTAATTGCATTATCGCAGTAGTGGCATCTTGATAACTTTAGCACATTTAGCAGTCTTCATTAATGTAATTAGTGAAATACTGACAAATAACTTTGTAGCGGAAGGGTAGGCAGAGTTTGCAATGTTGCAGCTTGGCATTGCCATTTTATTTCATTTTGTTTTGCCTTGTTCTAATCAAAGAGGAAATGTGCTTCTCTTGTATTTAGGAATAAAGGTGAAAATATCTCTTCAGACCTTAGGTGGTACCGGTGGTATGAAACTATCCTAATTAATATTTTATGCATAAATGGGTTATTTTTCAGTATGATCACAAAAGAGAGAAATTTATCTCAAGGGATTATTCACATATAGCTTCCTTAAATTTATATGCAGCTAAACGGGTTTGGTTGGTAGAGATAGGGGAATCAAGAGTTTTTAAAAGTGAAAAGCTACTGAACAAGGTAATAAAACCACTGAGATAGGGGAATCAAAAGTTTAAAAAGTGAAAAGCTACTTAAGAACAAGGTAATTCACTCTATACATATATGCAGTCTGATATATCATTCAGAAAGGTAAGGGGAAAACTTGTCTAAAAGGAAAATGAATCTCATGGAAAAAATTAGTTGATGGCGGATTAATGCATAAACATGTGACTGGGAAGCTTGCAGCGTTACTTAGAAGGACCATTCACCATGTATTTTCATGTGTGACATGCGCAAATGCTACGGCTGGTATATTTTGGTCGGAGGCTAAAAAGAATATTTTGCTATGCCTGCTGTTTCTTAAGGATATCGGCTCATACACATGGATAATACNCCTTACCCCTACCTCATAGAGATAGAGAGACTGTTTTTGATAGACCCTTGAGTCAAAGAACAATGAAGATAAAGCAACCAAGTAGCAAAGAATATATAGTAGCAACAACGTAACATGGTAATAGGTGTGGAAGCCACAACATGTAATAATAAAGAACCATAAATGGGAAATTACAGAAATAGTTCTAGTACTACTGGTCAGCATAGGAGGAACACACTACTAGCTGTCAACCTACAACCCTAATTCTCGATCTCTACACCTTCCTACCTTGGGTCATATCCTCGGTAAGCTGAAGCAATGACATGTCATGTCTAATTACCTCTCCCCAATACTTCTTAGGCCTGCCCCTTCCCTTCCTCACACCTGCCATGGACAATCTCTCACATCTCCTGACCGGAACATCTATGTCTCTCCTCTTCACACGCCTGATAACCCACCCCAAAATTCAAATATTTTTATTCCACATTCAGCGAAATATCCCAAGTAGTATTTTGTTCATGTCCACTTGTTTGGCGTAGAATTTAAGCTGATTGAATAAAATCAAACTTTTGACATCTTTCTTCTTTGTCGCCACAAATACGCTTTAAGTCAACTTTGTTATACCTTTACTGTCAGCCTTCGTCGCTACAATAGCTCCAAAAGTACCTATTAGCGGCAACTAAACTCGTCACTAAAAAGCAACAAATACACTACCAAAGAAGCGTTCCACAACATTGACTTAGGACCTGTTTAGACATAGATTTCCAAATATTTTTAAAAAAAGCTGATATGGGTGAAATTTGATTTGAAATTAAAAATATATTTGTACATGAATTTTGGGCAACCTATTTGCATGGTAGGTTGCTTGTCTTAGTGGCGACCGTGTCGCTAAATACTACTAGTATTATATCTTCAGTTGCTATTTTAGTCGCAAAATTACCTATTCGCGACAACTAGTGGGTCGCTTATTGTTAAACCTCCGCCAATTGAGCTCGACTTGACAACAAGAGTGTTGTCATGAGGCAGCAAGAGTGTTGCTAAGCTAAGGTGCAGGAGCAGCACCAAGGCAAAAATGGGAAACAGGCAAGTGATGGCCAAGGCTTTGACGGAGGCGAGGCAACTTGGCATGGGCTTGACAATGAGTTGCGGGCTGAGGGTGGCACTTGATCATGACAAAGGCATCAAGGCATGAGGCATTGATGCCATACCAAGGCAGAAACGATGAGGCAAAGGCAGGCTAATGTACAACGGGAAGGCAGTGCGCGGGCAGACTTGTCATGACATTGAGTTGCGGCAAACGGGCCAAGTTTGTAGGCAATGGCAAAGGCAAATTGTGGCACAATGCAGCTGGATACAATGGCATTGGCGCCCGGTCCAAGCCAAGGCACGAAATTGGGCAGCAAGTCTTGGATTGACGAAGTCAATGGCGGTTACGGCACATGCTGTGCACATGGACAGCAGTTGGGCTTTGCTAAAATGCTGGCAGGAGTTAGCAACATTTTTGGGCCATGATCACACTATCCTTTAGCATGATTTACATTATCCTAGTAGTTGAGGGTGTCAACTACACTAAGCTAAAGTAGTGGGCTGAGTGGGCAAGTGCCTAAGCCTAAAAATAGGCAACTATTGTATAAATAGGGTTGGTTCATACATTATAAATGGACAGCACCCTTTCCCTTTGGAGAGGAGAGTGAAAAACGTGTAAGAGTGAGTTAGGAAGAAGTCCTAAAGAGTAGTCTTGTGAGGGTCAAGAGTGATCTTCATTCTATACGCGGACGTACTTTTGAGTTTCAGTTTCTTTGTATGCTCGAGTTAAATACAAAGTTGGGAAAAGAGTTTCCTGTATATTGTGCCTTTTGTTCACTTTAATTTTCTGTCCCTTTATTTATTTTTCGTTGCCTAAAATCAGTCTAAGCTTACTACGTTGAAAAGTTGCCTAAATTAATCTAAGTCTAAAGTTACTGAAATTTTGGCCAAGTGTTGGAGCAGGCTAAAGTCAAGTCGAGACTTGGCTGCCGCGCGGGCTGTTGTTTTAGTGTGACATAAAACACGCTTGTGACACTTGTTATGGTGGCGACATCGTCGTCCCAGATATCTTCACTAGCAACTTCCTAGCCACTCTAGTTTATTTGTATTATTTTGACTAGCGAGCTATTCTACCACAATGAGAGCTATTCTACCACAATGACCAAGAGGACCCCTGGGAGCATGGAAGCCAAAAGTGTTTACACGAGACAAAATCCAACTGTATTTCCACAAGATGAATCTTGCTTGCTTAAAAAGAAAATTGAACATTCTAACATAAAATTGAAAGGCAAATCGACACGAATTAGAAGTCAGAAATAAAGAGCAAACATACCCAAGAATCTGGAATATCAACAAAATTAGCCACTCAGAATGAAACACATAAAATCTCCAATTGTCATAAGTTCAAAATGCTGGAATTTAAGAAGAAAAAACTAAGACTTGCTGACAAACAGAGCAGACAAGCATATACTGAAGAGTAGCACTACAAAACAATGCGAGTACGAAAACAGGCAAGCACCCAAACAAATCTAACAACGTCAAAGAACGTATCCTAACCAAATATAGAAATCTCATCCAATTTATCTGCTCCGTTTCCAGCTTTTTTTTGTAATTTTTTACTTCTAAGAATTAAGTCGAGTTGATCAGAGTTCTCACTTGGCCATCATGACTTTGACGAACTCCTCATAGTTGATCTGGCCATCACCATCCACATCAGCTTCACGAATCATCTCATCAACTTCTTCATCAGTAAGCTTCTCGCCTAGGTTTGTCATGACATGGCGCAGCTCGGCTGCAGAAATAAATCCGTTCTGATCCTTGTCGAACACTCTGAAAGCTTCCTTGAGCTCCTCCTCAGAATCAGTGTCTTTCATCTTGCGAGCCATCAGGTTAAGGAACTCCGGGAAATCAATGGTTCCATTTCCATCAGCATCTACTTCATTGATCATGTCTTGAAGCTCAGCCTCAGTTGGATTTTGTCCCAACGACCGCATCACTGTCCCAAGCTCCTTAGTGGTGATGCAACCTGTAGCATATTTCGCAATAATTACTAAATACGTATAGACATTATGTTAGAATCATACAATACTTAAAAAGGCTTTTTACTCATGTTATTCATTCTACCAGCAAAACAGTGATCCGGATCAAACTAGAAAATTCAAGACAAGTACAAAACAACGGGAATAGCCGAATACAGATTTCATCAAAGAGATGAAAGATGTACGATAAAACTAACACACCATTAACCACCTCCACGACTTCAATTTATAAAATATAAGGAAGAGAAATTAAAGCAGCTATTCTGTTTTAGGTGTTACAAAAAATTAGCTTATGTAACACTGCTAAATCTGAAACTTCCTGGGGGAATATTTATCAGCTAGCGGGTAAGAAAAGCAAACATAAGTATATAACTCAATATACTGGAAAACGTCAGTCTGCACCAGAATAATGAACTAACTGCTGTATACAACAAACCCAGTATAGTCCCACAAGTGGGGTTTGGGCAGGATAGTGTGTACGCAACCTTACTACCATTCTACCAATATTCGGTACGGGGTCATTCATAGCTTACTATACCTTCCCTTCCTTCGGCTGGCTTCGCCCTATCTATTCATCTATTTTCTCAAATGATATAACTAACTGCTGCATATTTAAAAATAGAGATAGGGAACATCAGTAATGTCTAGGGAACAGTCACACTGGCCAAAATGTCTAACGCGGATTGAAGTCAGAACATTTCATTTAACCATTTGAGTGAACATCCTTCCCAAAAGACAAGCATAAACTTTCTCACAAGTTAAAGCATTTTATGAAAACTTACACAATCCCACTACCAACAAGTCATCATACCGAACAAAATGGATTATATTCATCATTAAACCAAAAATATCATGAATCAACAGAAGGACTGCTAGTTAGGAAACGCTTAAGAGGTTCAACCATTTTAAGAGATGTTAACTGATTTCAGCCAAATACAATTTCAACAGCACCATTCTGATGCAATCCCCAAATTGCCCATTTGTCAAAACCAAACAATCCTCAAGTTCCCACAATCAATCAAACAAGTTAACAATACCAACAAGGACAGCTGTTGACCAACACTGAAAATCCACCAACTTCACATAGATCAAACTCACATCCATTTCGACTACAAGTTGAAGCAAAACCCAGGTTCAAAATCAAATCTTTATCAAACATATTCCAAATAAAAACAAAGAAAGAGCATCCCCAAGGTTATTTTGAAGTGTAAGTTTTCCACGTAGTGATACAAATTGACTACCATACTCACCGTGAAAAGATGCTAGGTTTTGGCAGTGGGTGCATTTGTATCAATGGTCTCCATTCCACTACGAGGGTCTATTGAAAACAGTCTTTCTACCTTCACAAGGTAGGGGTGAGGTCAGCATACACACTACCCTCCCTAGACCCATCTACGGGACTACACTGGGTATGTTGTTGTTGTCTCCATTCAAACTATATATTGAATGGAATAATCTTTCCTAATATTTATGAATTTAAAATAAGTTTGCACTCATTTTCACAAAGGGTAATTGATTTCAATGGTATTCCACACTCATTCACTTCAAAAGTTGGATCCACCTTTTTTACTGTGGTGTCCGGGTCATCTCGCTTGCACCTTGACTATTCTGGTGTCCGGGTCATCTCGCTTGCACCTTGACTATTCTGGTGTCCGGGTCATCTCGCTTGCACCTTGACTATTCTGGTGTCCGGGTCATCTCGCTTGCACCTTGACTATTCTGGTGTCCGGGTCATCTCGCTTGCACCTTGACTATTCTGGTGTCCGGGTCATCTCACTTGCACCTTGACTATTCTGGTGTCCGGGTCATCTCGCTTGCACCTAGAATAATCCACCGGGTACCTACTACCTCGGATCCACTCATCCTCACTCAACATCAAGTCACTCATAGATCACAAATTGGTCAAGAAAAGGCAACACAACATGTGGATCTAGCCCTTCAAATCACACTGCTTTTAGCTCAAACCATATATATATACATACATACAAACAATTTAATAGATACACACACATATATACATAAATAGAAAGTAAGGGTTCTGAGCCATCGACTCTAAATCTAGGATCAATTATAGGCCAGACCCAGAAAAAGTAAACACATAAATAGGAGAAAAAACAACAAATTTAATAATTTTGGCATCTGGGTATTATCGAAAGTGATTAAAGATACAATTTTTATTCAAACAAATGGTATATTATGAAGAAAAATGTTAGGAATAGTAAAGAGCTGACCATCTCCATCCTTATCGAAAAGGCTGAAAGCTTCTTTGAATTCAGAGATCTGATCATCTGTGAGCTGATCTGCCATTTCTTCTTCTTTTAGGATTTCAAAGGGAAGTTTGCAAAGTGGAAAATGAGAGAAAAATGGGACAAAGATGATTGAGAAGAAAAATGAACAAGTGCGTGGCAACTTGGAAATATGGGGTGGCAATTATATAGGGTAGTAATGGTCCAAATATTTGGAGGGGTTGTGGGGTTGGGCATCTTATGCTTTTCCTTTTTCTTTTTTTTAATAATTATACAACAACAATAACAACAATCCAGTAAAATATTATAATTGGGTCTGGGAAGGGTAGTGTGTACGTAGATCTTACTTCGACCCGAGGAGATAGGGAGGTTGTTTCCAAAATACCCTCGGCTCAAGACGACGAAAAGAAACACTATATTAGTATCATCAACAGAAAAATCAAGAACAACATAAGAAAAACAATAACAATAACCAGTAAATAAAGTCCGGCACAATGAAAAGTGTGAACACAACATTAACCACTAGCAGTCGGAGACACAACCCTATCAGACTAGCCTCAATCACCTTTTAACCTACAATCCTAACGTGCGACCTCCGCATCTTCCTATCAAAGGTCATGTCCTAGAAATTTGAAGTCACATCGTGTCCTGTCTAATTACTTCTCCTCAATACTACTACTACTACTACTACTAATAATAATAATAAGAATAATAATAATAATAATAATAATAATAATAATAATAATAATAATAATGGTGTTCGCCTGGTTCGCACCTCAATTATGGCATACCTTGCATTAATAGACAACTCTACCAATCAAGCTTGAAACTTTTTTCCTTTCTTATATAATATTGTCGTTTATTCTTAACTTATCATAGAAGGGAACAAAAATTTGCTTTTATAGTTGTTTATGAGTTTATGGAAATTTGTTTAGTCAAAATATTACACTTTTCTTTCTTATTATTGCTATTGCCATCTCAAATTACTTGGCACTATAGCACTTTCTTATAATTAGAGATTAGTCTGCTATTTTATCCTCACTTTCTCAATGATATGACGACTTGTGTCCATTTGATAAAAAAAAACAAGTTGTTTCTTAGTTCTCACTATGGCATTCTTTGCAATATTTTCATACTTAGCTTTTGTATAATTTTTTTTTCTTTTTTAAACTTTATATCCGATTGAATAATATCAAACAAATTAGGCCAAAAAGAGTATAAACTAAAGAAAAGAATTCCTATGAAGAGTGAAGCAAGAGAAAACTCTGCCACTTCTTTACATTCTCTTACCTTTTTTTCCTTCTCAGAAAGCTGGGAGATTACTACTTCTATCTATCAGAGGACAAAAGAAATCCAAATGAACCCACTAAATTAGGAAAGATTACAAATCACTCGACAAAACTAGCCTCTCATTTTGAATGACATATGGTTGTCTATTCTAATGATGGATGTACGTCACAAAAAGTACTCAGTATTAACAAAAGTAGTACTCTCTCGGTTCCAATTTATGTGAACCTATTTGATTGGGCACGTAGTTTAAGAAAAAAATGAAGACTTTTGGAATTTGTGGTCCTAAACAAGTCCAAATGGGGTCTAGAGTATTTGTGTGGTTATAAAAGCTTTTCATTATGGGTAGAATTGTAACTTTAAGCTAAATTGTTACCAAATTTAGAAAAGGTTCATTCTTTTTGGAACGGACCAAAAAGAAAATAGGTTCACATAAACTGGAACAGAGGAAGTAATTCATCTGTCATGTCCTTGAATTGAAATTGGAGAGAATTTTTTCGATTATTCATCACCCCTATGGCTTGACTTGAGAATATCATATCCTGAAAAGAGTTGAAACCCATGTTGTAACTGTTTAATTTTATAACTGAAAAAATTCGGGAGCAATCACAGCACGACTCACAACTCGATTAATAGTGAACATGCTATTCTAACCTTCTCAACTTATATGCAAGGGCGGAGCTAGGGTGGCGGAAGGGGGTTATTTGAAAGAACAACATTATTTTTTATGCATAAATAATAGATGTTAAAATCCCCTTCGCATGTTCGTCTGTTAACTTTTTAATATTCCGAATTCCCTTGTTAAAACCTGGCTCCGCCACTGCTTATAAGACAGGCTTTTACATGTTAAGAGCAAAAAGGTTACAAAGGACTCATCCATGCCTTTGATTATCCATACCTTATAGTTCAGACCAAGCAGAATTCTCTGTCTGAGGACTTTATGTGAAAATAAAGTGACAAACTCCTTGGATCAGATAGAGTTGTGAAAGAGACTCAGGTTAGACTCTGAAGGCACCATAAAAATATGCCTTACAAGCCCGAAAACCACGACCAAGAACTGATGAAACTTCTTTGATCACTTCCTAGATTTCTTTCTTGATTTCGATGAAGGCTTGGATTGCTCGGTGCTTGCATTCTGAGAGGCTAATTTGGAATTGGCTGGCTGGTTTGATTTTGTATCGTTACTAATCGCTGCCTCTTTCGCAACTGCTCCCTGAGAACCTCTAATTTGAGCTGCTCTCTTGTCCTTTCTCTTTGGTCTATAACTAGACCTTTCCCTCTTCGGAAGCCACCTCTCTGGATCAGGTGGAGGCCCTGGGTTGGCTGGATCGAAGCCCTTTGGGTATTTCGGTTTTCTCTTCCTCTTTTTCTTTGCCTTATCCTTACCCTTGGCTTCAGTAACACCGACAATAGGAACAGTCTCAACATGCTTTGCACCAGAAGTTTTCTCCAAACTATCGACATCAATAGATTTCAAGCCGGGTAGTGGTTTTAGTTGCTTCTCATAAGCTTCTGCTTTCTCTACATTTCCATGGGCAGCAGTCTGGATCAACCCAACCAAAGCCTCAATACTTCCATGGCTTTTCACAAGCTCCTCATATAGGCGCGCCGCCTCCTCCTTTCTTCCATGCCTCAACTTAAAAGCAGCAGCCTCCTGCATGATGCTACTGAGCTTATTGTTTTCTGTCATTGCATTTGACCACCATCTGATGGCAGAATCAAACACAGCATCGGCACCATCAATATCTCCTGCCCTTTCCTTGAGAGAAACGAGGGTCGCAACAGTTGCAGGTTTGTGTTGAATGTCAGGAATTTTTGCCAGAGACTCAGCTGCAATCTGAGGATGGCCAGCAGCAGCAGCAACCTGTGCCCTTGCAAGCAGGATGACTTTGCACTTGTCAGGAAACTTATCTGCAAAATGTCCTAGTATTTCTTCAGCTTTACCAGCTTTATTCTCTCGCACATGCACAGCAGCTTGAAGAAGTACTGGCATCAAGCTACCAGGAAATAAATCCGGTAAAACTGCAACAAGTTCTCGAGCCTGTAATAATCCATGAACTAAAATTAAGCATCTAAAGAAGAACACGCAATAACCAGCCGTAGCTCGGGGTCTTCTTTTTTGCTTCTTATGTATTTCCATTTAACCTTGAAAAAAGAAAAAAGAAACAAAATGAAATGTTAGGTTTCAGATTAATTACCTGATCCATCTTATTAGAATGAAGTAGCAGTAGCATCCTATTGGTGTATATAGCTTCCCTTTGCTTTTGAGAAAGCTTCAAGTCCAGTCCACGACCAAGCTGGAACTTTNAGTCCACGAGCAAGCTGGAACTTTTGTGGTCCATCACTTTTCTCTACTAGCTTATCAAGTTTCCTTAGGCCATCAGATACATCTTTAGGACCTTTCAAAGCGATGAGGTTATTTACTGCCACAGCAAGTGACGACTCATCTGCCAAATTTCTTTTCACGAGGTTGGTATAAGATGCAACAGCTTCTTGTGTGTTTCCTAGAATCTGCAATAACACATAGATATTCATGTATTTGCAACACATCAAGGCAAACAGAAAAGTCGAACTCGTGTTATAAAATAATTTTACCTGTTGAACATATGCAAGTTGAACAGCAATGGGTGCCAATTCGACTTCAACATCATCATCAGCTAAATTCTCCTCCATTAGTGTTTCCTGACCAATTCTGTTATTTCACCAGCAAAATTAGCAAGTTATCTCATTTGTGTCCAAGCACATATTAAGAACTGGAAGTTCCAAACCCTACAGTCAATACAGCACAGACAAGCACCACATGGAAAAAGAATAGGCAATCTCTTATAACGGTTATTAATATTTGTTTCAGACTTGTGGTACTAGGCATACAGTGTAGATCCTTGATACAGTGTAGATCCTTGATCCTTTCAGCAGCACAAAGTGTAGCTTGGGTTATATTAATCAGCTTAAAGGAACATGTTCTCTGCTGATTCCACACTTCTTGATGTTGAATTACTCTTAACTGTTCCAAATCAAGTTTGTCACATGGGGTTCATCAAAGAGAAACTAATTAAGAATCTCATACTAAATACAAGACTTAACAAATTCACTAATCCTTAAAAACCGTGCCGGTGACATGTATGACCTTGTAAACTATAAGCTTCAAAAATCTCCTACCTTCGAGCTGACAATAGCAGTTGCTCAGCATCCTTGTACTTCTGCCTCTCAATTAAAGAGCAGGCGGTGTTATATGCCAATTCAAAACTGCTAGTTGCTTTAACTCTGATGGAATCCAGAGTTCCCTGCACATCAGAAGCTCTTCCAGCAGAAACCAAACCAGCAACAAGATTAATTTCTAAGGAGTCTATCTGGGGCTTTTGGAGCTTTTGATATATATCCACAGAAGCTTCCATCTTTCCCAAACGATATAAAATCTGAGATTCCAACAGCATTGATGCAGTACTTCCTTCTTGCCCCGTTAAGGACTCCAACGCTTGATCCAGTTTATTTTGCCTATATAAGCAATAAGCCTTCGAAAGAGCAACATCACAATGAAAAGGAACATGTTAATGAGAGATAACTTCCATTGCTGAAGAAAAATGAACTCTTTTCCTGGTAAGCATAGGGGTTTGCAATAAGGTGAACAAAGAAATCATATTGCTAAATCTCCTTACAATTAAATTCATAGCGAAGTCTTGACTGAG